CCCCAAAACCCCAAAACCCCAAAACCCCTGCTTGCATAACTAATGTGAATCAATAAATTATTATATACCATAGAAAAGGAATATTATTGAAATATATAAAAATGAAGTAGTTATTGAGAAACAATCTTGCCTAATAGCAGACATCTTTGAACCAATTGTACTCTAATATCTCAAAGTAAGGGGTCAAGGAGAGTAATAAAGGCTTCTCTCAACTAAGCAGAAGATAAATTTTGACAAGACAAAGATCTCACAATCAAAACTAGCAAGGACATAGTTACAAATAGCTTATTTCATTGCTATTATTGGGAGGTTGTACTATGACAATGTAATCATACTTCCCAGCTAAAAACAGATTATCATCACTTGCTTAAGCAGAACAAGATAATACAACTTAGCAATAGCTTGAGAGAGTATCAAGCCAAGTAAGAGAAGAGCATTTATAACTTAATAGTAAAGTCTAAGTTCTATTTATATACTATGATTCGAGATAAGCACTTTAAAGAGAATTCATGCATGATATTGAGGTAAAATCAATAGTTGAAAAGCTTCTCAAAAAATATCCAAATCTCAGTATTGTAAAACTAGATGTCAATGATCCTTCATTTGCTGAAAACAATTTAAATCAAGAGGTTATTAATGTGGTTGAGTACGGTAATAATAAAATTTCTAACAAAAAGAAACCAACTATATTCCTCAGAGCAGATGACAGAATAGTCAAATTCAAGGCAAACTATCTCAACAAAAATTATGATTAATTCAACACTGCCTTTTAGAAGGAATCTTCTTTCTATATAATCAAATCAGTCAAAGATTTAGCAGAGAGACTTAATCAATTCAACAAATCCCTAAATGACACAACAATAGTGTATGTTCATGATCCATCAAAGGCGACTACTCCAACAGATGGAACTTCTAATGTGGATACAAAGTAAATTTCGTTCAGACTGATGAGATAAGAAACTGAGAATCCAATCTTATAAATAAACGACCTAGAGCTGGCGTAAAAGCTAAATATGCAGCCAGGAAAGTTCTATTGCTATTTCAAACCTTCATTCATCAACGGCTATGAGCAATACATAGATAAAGATATCAATTTCTGCTATCTTTAAGCATATGAAGGTATTTGCAGAGATGAATTTTAAATTAATGAAGAAAAAGTACAATCAGAGGAGTTCTCAAATCATCTCAAGAGATATAGAGGATTCTAAACTGAAAAATTTGCAATTCAAAACTTTGATCAATACTTCACTAGAACTTTTACAGTAGAATTTGTCTTCAATCCAAACTTCTCTGAATTCAAAAGAAAGTTCAAGACTGGAACCTCATAAAAGCCAATGATATTTATATATTCACCAGCTATGTATATGTCAAGATATATTGGAGAATTCAAGTAAGTACTTTAAAATTACACGGAGGTATTCGATGTTTATTATACTGAAGATCACAACGAGGCATAATAGCTTTTCTATACCAAAGAGTTCCCAGACATTTTCCCTTATGTAGCAATAGTTGATACCAAAAAGAAGAAGGGCTTGAAATCAAGTGCTGGTACTTTGCATGAGCTTACTTTAGAAAATAATAACTTCTATTTCTAGAAATACAGAGAGATCATCTTTTTCAACGATATTCAGAAAAATGTGAACAAGCTTATTGATAAATTCTTGGATGGAGAAGCTCATCACTACTATCAGTCTCAGAGAATGAATTAAGAGACCAGAGTGAAGAAGATATGCTCAGCTAACTTTGAGCAATAAATATTGAAGAATCCAAAGATAGAGTAATGCATAGTTGAGGTATTCAAGCATGATTGCCCATCTTGCGCTTTTAATGGTAAAGTATTCAATGTCTTCTCAAGAAAACTAGAAAAGCATGGATACTTAAATAAATTACCTCTATATCGTTTAAGCATTGATAATAAAGTACCATAGCTTGGCAATTTTGGTTACTCACCCATTTATATGTATGTTAGAAAGAGAGGAAATGAAATAGTAGAGATAAAGACCTTAGATCCACCTCAAAGGCCAGAGGAATTCTTGAAGTAAATAGAAGAGCATTCAAAGTTAAAGGGACTGACTGAAAAGATAAAAATCAAGGCAAGAGACTAGATTATAAAGCATATTAGACTTGAAGACCTCGATGAAAACTTCGATATCGATTTTGACACTGTTGAAGAGCCATAGCCTGAGTTATAACCTACAGAATAAGCATAAAAAGCATGATATTAAGGATATGCGCGTGCTAATGCTTTGAATGATGAATTAATTGAATGAGCAAGTTGAACTTTTATTAAGTATTTAATTTAAATTAACAGGCTTTAATAAATAATTTAAATCATTTAAATAGATTCAATATGTCTCTTCATACTAAAAGTAAGCCTGTTTCATTTATTTTATATGATATTTAGACAAGCCAAGCCATGCTAATAAGCAAGGTAATTCTTAGTTGAGTTAAATGAAACAAAATACAACGTTTGGGGATAATCAAAGTAAGTTACAGATAATAATGAAGTGTTCTTGAATAGTGCATTCAATAAATGGAACTGGAGATATAAACTATAATCAAACAAATAATTCAAACCAAGGTCAAAACTACTAAGGACCTTAGTTGACTTTCGATAAGAACTATCTTTGCATGCAAGTAGATACTGGAGGAGTAGCTCAAGATAAAGGTAAGTATTGCATACTTAGATTAATTGCTTACTTTGATTAAAGTTGTTGTTACAAATGTTGGAACGACAACCGTTACTTACGATTGGAAGAAGGTACTTAGACCAGATCACATTCAATCTAAGAACTCTGATGGTGTGTAAAGATTCTACTGCCACTATGTATCTTTAATATTGATTTTAATGCATTACTCTAGCCAAGAAGTATTTTGAAGCCAGGAGAGAGCAAGACTTTCATATTTTCATTCAGATCTGACTCAAAGCCAGGAATATTCTTTGAAGAATGGGAACTGCTCTCAGATCCCTCACTTCTATAGCCTCTGCCTCTTATCAATCTAAGTGGCATTGCAATTAAAAGAGATGAACATGTAGCTAAAAGACTAGAACTTATCAAAGATAGAGAAAGTTTGGTCTAACAAAAGCTTATAGAAGAAGTGCTGCAATAAGATCTCTTGGATAAAATTGAATCTCCCGAAGTCCCTCCTCCTAATCTGAGAGAGCCTGAGATATTCAAGCAATACTTTGAATCTAGCAACAAGCACTTAGGGCTCTATTACACTCAAGGAATAATGAACTAATTATTTGAACTATTAGAGGATATCTAGGCAAGAATTAATGATGGGATTGATCATATTTCCCATTGGAGAGGCAAAATTGAATACTTGGAAGATTTAATATAGCAAGTTCCTAACAGATATTCTAGATAGACTCTTAAGGAGAGATATATCAGATTACTGTCTAATGCAAGGAAAGTGCCTATCGACAGAGCTTAGTCTTATTAAGTATTCAAAAAGGCTTTGCTTGATTTAAGCGAAAATGTTGTTGAACTCGAATCAAAGGGCAGAGATGAATTATAGATGATTGAAAATCTTGGCTTTGTTGTTCCACATGAAAATTAGACTGAAGAAGAAGCTAAAAAGCAAGTTGATGAGTAAAAGCTAAAGAAAGCAGATTGGATAAAGAAAACTAAGAGAAAGCCTAAGACTGAAGAAGAGGAAAGTGCTGAAACAGAGGAACTTAAGCAAAAGATATCTACAGGTCTTAAATCTGATTTAATGCAAAATAGAGTAGAAAAATCTGAATAAGAGATAGACTATGTGAAGACTAAGTGGCTCTTTGACAATCACACTAAAATGGATGAAATTCAGTATGATGAACTTCACAGACTTGAGTCAATACTTGACATTGATATCAGTGGCAAAGACCTTATCATGAGACTTGACTTAGATGTACCATTATCACCATATGTTCCTCCCTAAGCCTTGTCTACTAATCCAACTCTTGATGAGCATAACAAATCTCAATTTAATACTAAGCACAAGAAGACTTCTCAACAATAGCAACAAGATGCGCTTTTATAGCAATAACTACTTTAATCATAATAAGAGGAGCCTTGGAAAAAGAGAGATATCCTCGACCATACTTTGATTAAGAAGGCTACCAATGGAATCAGATATGCGATTGAGCATCTAGCCAATAGAACCTTTATTGTAGGTAATCTAGGAGAAAAATGTGGAAAGATAAAGCAAGAAAACTCAATGAAGGTTGTATTTAATGTTCTTTAGCAATAGTTAATAGAGCAAACTATGATTTTTATCCCTGATGCAATTATTCCAAATTTTGAACATAGAAAGGAGAATGAGGAGTTCCCTGAGACTACCACATTCCTTCTTGAAAATCTGAACTTTAAACCTGATGAATTCGGCTATGTTGAGCCTGAGAAGCCACCTGAAGAGCCAAAGCCAAGTGAAGAGGAGCTTAAGAAAGAGGAGGAGCTTAAACAGTAGCAATTAGCAGCTTAGTAAAAAGGAGCAGCAGGTAAACAGCCACCTGCAAAGGCCCCACCTGTCGACAAGAAAAAAGCTGAAGAAGAAGCGAAAAAGAAACAAGAAGAAGAGGCAGCCTTAAAGAAAAAGCAAGAACAGCAAACAGCGGAGAAGTCAATGACTGAAGAGGAGAGACTTGAGATGCAAAGAATTAAAGAGGAGGCTGAAAGAAAGAAAAGAGAAATGGAGTATTTCGATTATAAGACTATTCACAGGTACAAAGAACATCTTGGCAAGTATGGAGATATCTATGTCAACGATGCCCCTTTAATGACATTAACTAATAGCAACTCAATAGCTGAGATTAAATGCAGAAGAAGGGTTATGGGAGTAAGAATGACTGAAGAGATAAGAAAGTTAAGTTTATTTTTCTTGAAAAAACATCCTTCAGAGTTAAAATCTAGATGGTATACTCCACCTACTATTATGCCTTATCATCAATACAAATTGACCACTATGGTTGGAGGAGTTTTAAAGAATGGGATGGAATTATTAGATAAAGTTCTGCTTATTAACTCGTTAACTGACACTGCTGTCAATATTTAACTATATGGAGAAGTGGGTCTAGCTGCTCTCTATGCTTTAGGAATCAATGTGGGTAGAGTCGATAGAACTCATGATAATGAAAGAGACTATGAAAAAACGAAAGACTTCTTTAAGAGTATTTTCAAAAGAGTAGTAATGAGCAATGGAAAGATTAAGATCGACTTCCCATTAGATTTTCTTGTATCTCAAAAAATAGAGATTGACGATGTTATTTCTTAGCATGAAGATCCTATTAATATATCTCACCATTCTTAGACTAACTAAGGCACAAGAAATAACAATGAAAAGACAAATCAAAGTAAGCAGTTAAATCAAACTGTTGATGATGAAATGACTCGCAAGAGTGGATAGCCATATGGAGGTCATTAACAGTAGCAATTGTAATGGAGACCTTATCATTGGGCAGACAAGATTATAAATCAAAATAAGCATAGATACGTTAATCTAGAAAGATTAGTTCATGCTTAATGGTCTGAATTTGCAAATCAATTTTATGATGAGTACAAATCACAGAATCCAGATATGGAGAGATGGAATTTTGATGAATTCTAATATCGTGAGCCCATAAACAGAGAACAGTATGAAAATATGTTTGAGCCTATATAGCAAGATGAATATGTCCTTGAGTTTGGTCCCTTGACTAGACAGTAGGTTCAAAGAGAGATCGAGGCTTCATTCAAATTGTTCTGGGATGGATCGATATCTCCTTTCAAGGATGCGGTTTTAGCAAGTGAGACTAACAAGATCATCGTTTAGAAACTTCTTGACTTAAGACTAAGAACTGCTAATGATGAAGAACCTCCTATCACTCTGTTGCATGGTAGTGAAACTGAAACAGTCATTCGACACTCTTTAATGAGATTAAGAGTAGAATAGTAAGAAGCCTTAGAAGCTGCAAAGAGAAAGGCAGCAATGGAAGGAGAAGAGATCGATGAGGAAGAAGACCAAATTACTATGACATAAGATGAGAGCAAGGAAGAAGCATCTACCATCTAGCAAGATATGGGTCAGATCGCAGATTTCTTCTGCTTCGAAGTCCCTCAATTTACTCTTAAGATTTTACAAGGAGTACCAAACAAAAGTCTTTATAACTTAGACCAGCATCCTAAGAGAACCAAAGAGCAAGAAGAAGAAGATTTGGCATTATTAGATGAAATTTGAGTTCTTCAGTGAATATTAAGCGAATTATCGTTATTAATTTTATATTTAAGATATTCATAATCTAATCAAACGTTTCTCTTTGATAATCTTTTCCTTGCACTCATGTGTAAATTGAAGTATAAGTTGGAATTTTAGATCTTAGTACATCAAGTGCCTCTTTACCCTAAAAATTTTTTTAATTAAAATCTATGCTCTTACTCCTTGTTCTTCAATGGTATTCAGCACTCCCATAATCTTTTCCCTCATGGGTTTATTAGCCATTTTCTTATTAAGTTATGCCAAAAGAATGTGAATATGAGGAGTCAAATGATGTCCAACAGTCTGTGAAAGTTTTCTCAGGGCTTCTAGTCCCTTATTCCAAATTTCTTTATCAGAAGACATAAAAGCATTTCTTAGAGGCATTATCAGTTTTTAAACAACTGGAATTGTCTTCTCTGCAGCTCCATGCGATGATAACATTTCTTGAAGACCACTATTAGCACATAAAGCATAGGGATGCTCAGTTTCCAATAATCCTTCAAAGCAGTTGATTAGTAATGGATCATAATCAAGTTCTGTGAATAACATTAGCTAAAGAAAATGCTCAAAACTTACAACTTGGGTCAGTATCCCACTGAATTTTGTTGACTACTGAGCCATGATTTATTCTGATAGGCACTCCTCCAGAGCTATAAACATAGCCAAAATTAGTCTTATGCTTTTTACCTCCAGAGAATGGATCAGCTGCCTTTATTTTCTTAAATCTGTCCGATGGCTTTTCAGTAAACCCAACTTTTGGCTTATCCTTAATCTCTTCAATAATTCCTGTAGTTTTCATTTGATTCAGTCTATTAGTTGAAGCATTTCTCAATGGTTTTGGAGCTTCTTAGAGTCTGTTAGATATCTAAGGAGCTTTTCCTACTACTCTATTCTCGCTTCTTATGGGCGGTTTAGACATTGCCTTTCTTTCCATTTTTAATTTTAAAATTTCAACCAATTTAAATCAGATTCTAATCCAATGGGGTTTTGGGGTTTTGGGGTTTTGGGG